TGATGATGATTGATGATGATGATGATTGATGATGATGATGATGATGATGATGATGATGATGATGATGATGATGATTGATGATGATGATGATGAATGAATCAATGGTAAAGTTTTTCATCAGCAATTCCATCTCCCAAATCGCCTGTGATATTCAAACTACGTCCACTCATTTGGGAGTTGAACATTTTTCCCATTAATTAGGATCTTACAGTATCGTTTTGTTAATTTCAATTAAAATCAAAAAGCTTTTACCGCTCCACCAAGAATCCAACGATCAGTAAGCAAGTCGATTAATGCAATGGGCATTACCAACAAACCAACGCAAAAGTCGGCAACTGCCAATGAAACAAACAAATAATTTGCCGGTTGGATCTTCAATTTTCGTACCAGTAAGACAGCCATAATTACCAGTGAATTACCAACTAATGTTGCGACAATCATTACACCAATTAATAAGCAAATAATTGCGACTGTCGCTACTTTATCAAATGAGTTTGATACTGTTATGCCATCCAAACTCTTAAGACTACTGATTACTGCTGCTGTTACTGTCGTCGTTACCGTTGTCATTGTCGTTGTCGCTACTGTTATTTTTGTTGCAATATCAAGCACAGTAGCTGATGTCATTATTATAATGCTTCTTTGTTTTCTTTCTAATCCTTGTCCATATGTTCCTCATTAACTAAAACATTTTCTATAGCTCCTTAATGGTAATAACAGTAGTAGTAGTTGTTGTTGTTGTAATAATTAATAATAATAAATTAATAAATTATTACAAGATAACAAATTGTTATATCCTATAATAATAAATTATTAGATTTTAATAATTATTATGCGTAAAACACTCATTATTATTATTATTATTATCATTATCATTATCATTATTATTATTATTATTATTATTATTATTATTATTATTATTATTATTATTATTATTATTATTATTATTATTATTATTATTATTATTATTATTATTATTATTATTATTATTATTATTATTATTATTATTATTATTATTATTATTATTATTATTATTATTATTATTATTATTATTATTATTATTATTATTATTATTATT